CAGTTGGGGCTCTGTCTCTTTTGTTATTTGGCAAATTCATTTAGAGCACTTTTATATGTGTATGCATTATAGGAAGCATCTACTGTGTCAGATTTCCAGATTACCTCTCAAATGGCCCATAGTTTTAGCTATCCCTCTTTGTGTTCTCTTCCTCACCTCCTCTTTTCTCCCCTTCTCTGTTGGATTCTCCCATTCCAGTCTCTATCTTCCCCCCCCCCATTCACTCATAGCTATCTATTCTCTTTCTCCTTCCTAGGGAGACCCACCCCTCACCCTAGTCTCTTACTCTCTACCTACCCTCTGTAATTACATGGATTGTAGCTTGCTTATCATTGACTTAGCAGCTAACATTCATGTATAAGCCATATTTGTCTCTTTGGGTCTGAGTTAACCTCAGGATGATTTTTTTCTCCAGTTGCATCCATTAGCTCTTAGTGTTTTAGACTCCACAGGATAGATAGAGGGTCTTCAGAGTAAAAAAGTGATAAACACTTCTTATTGCTTATTTCACAAATATATACTTAAGAAGCTATGGGTTGGTGTGTACCAACACAATTTCACTGGCTGTTGCAGATGGCAAAATGTTCCCAGGGATATCATCATCTTACAAAAGCATTAAAATATGTATATTTTGTTTAAAGTGCAGTACAACAGCTTAGTTATTCAGTTTATTCCTATTTGTAAGATCATGTGCAAAATGAGAGGTCTTGTAATCTTGCAGTTGAGGATGGCCTTCAGTCTGACAGTCTGGGTTTTATTTTATTTTATTTTTAATTTTCACCATTTATTCAAATATATCCTGATTGAAGCCCCCTCCATCAACTCCTCCCACCCCTATCCTCTCTCCCTCTTTCCCTCTATCACCTTCCCCTAGTCCACAGAAAGGGGGAGTTCTCCTCTGCCATCTGCCCATAGTTTATCAAGTCTCATCAGGACCTGGATCCTCTTCCTCTGTGGCCTGGTAAGGCTGCATCACCAGGGGCAAGGATCAAAGAACAGGCACACCAAATTGGTGACAGAGGCAGCCCCTGCGCCCCTTTACTTGGGAATCCACCTGGAGACTGAGCTGCCAATCTGCTTTTTCTTCCCCTGGCTAGTTTAGTGGCTTTGAATTTTACTTGAGTTCTCTGTACCGTGGTTTCCTTGTTTATAAAGCAAATATAAATAATATTTGCCTCAGAAGGGAAATAATGTTTGTCTCAGAAGTTGTTTTGTGAATAAGAATAATCAACACAAAATGGCCCCGTGATGTTAGTAAGTTCTCAGTATAATGTGAGACAATAACTAATTAATTAAGGGACTTTTAAATTGTATAGCTTGCTAGTTGTTGGCAATTGATAAAGGGAAAGCTAAAACATGGGTGTAGAAAAAAAATCAATTTCATTTATAATGGGAAGAAAAGAACATCTTTAACTTTTATATTTTTTAAATTAGGGTCTTTACTGACCGTAATTAATTTTGATCTGTCAGTATTGCACTGAACATGGCATTCTGAAGACCTTTACAAAGTTTATCTCTTTTAAATTTAAAAAATTTTAAAGAATGTTTTTATGAATTCTGTGAGAATTTCATGCACTGTATTTTGCTCATACTTACCACTCCTCACCTCTTCCTAGGTCCACTCCCTTTCCTACAGCCCAACCTCTTGAAAAATAAGACAAACAGAAAAGCCCCACTGAGTCCAGTGTGTGTTACCCGTATACTCGTGGATGTGGGCATCGCAGGGGTGTGGGCATCCTTCCAGGTACCACACCCTTAATGGAAATGACTTTCCCAGCAGCTGTTAGTTGCCAGTAGCTCTCCAGCTAAGGGGGACTTAATGCCTACCTCCCTGCTCCATGCTTGGATTTTGTCTGATGTGGGCTTTAGTAGGGCTTTTGCATGTTGCCACAATCATATCTGCAATTGCCACGTTGTGCTTGGAAAATGATTTCCTATCCCTGAGCCTTGGGAGGATGGTACATGTTATAAGAATATCATTTAGAGCTGAGCACTCTTGCAGTCTCTTCATCTTGATAAGTTGGTGGTCTCTGTGTTAACCTCCCACTTACTGCAAAAAGAAGGTTCTCTAATGAGATCTAAGAGAGGCACTGTACGTAAAATAATGAGCTGTCAGGAGTCAGTTAAATACTTTGTCCACTCAGAAGACTGGTGGGTTCTTCCTGTGATTTGTGACTTGCCTAGCCACAGGCCTAGCTACCAGTTCCTAGTCCTGATAATAGTGCTAAGTATTCGTCCTGCCTTGTGGATGAGGCCTTAAACGCACTCAGAACATGCTCGGTTACCTCCATGACTTTAATGTCAATATTGTGCTGGTGAGGCTATCTTATCAGGGTTAGCTCACAGGATTCACGACTGAAAGTTGACTGATGCTAACTTTCTTCCCTGTTACCATTCATCGAGCCATATAGGACTATCCAAGCCACCAGTGGGATCGGAGCCTCTGGTATTTCCTTTTCTACACTGCCCTCCCATCACACCCCATTTAGTCCTTTATGTTCTATTACACATCTTTCCCGTTTATGTCACTCTGTTCTGACTTCCCTCCCTCTAAAGTTCCCCCAGGCCCCTAACCCACCTTTATGGGTATTTCAGATGAAACACAGATATCTAAAGATTCCAAGCTAGCCTCTATAAATGAGAGAAAACATGCACCAGTCATTTTTCTGAGTCTGGATTTTATTTCACTCAGACTGGATATGTCCAGCTCCATCCATTTACTTGAAAATTTAATAACTTCATATTCAGCATCTAAATAATATTCCATTATGTAAACATATCACAGTTATATTATTCATTCACCCAGCAGTGGATACCTGGGAAGTTTCCATTTCCTGACTGTTGTGAATATAGCAGCAATGAACATGAATAAGCAAACATTTGTCTAGAAGGATACTAGAGTCCTTTGGGAATATGCCCAAGGGTGGAATAGCCAGATCCTGGGGTAGATCTGTAGCTCGCTTTTTGAGGATGTCCTCAGTGATTTATATAGTGACTGGATCACTGTGCATTCCCACTAACAGTGAGAAAGTGTCCCCGTTTCCCACAGCCATGTTAGCATTTGTTGTTATTTTTTAAAATTTACACATATGTATTTAAAAAATCCAGTTCAGTGAGCATTCAGCAGGCTCTTTAATAATTGACTTTTTATTTTCTAAAATGTTTCTTGCCTTATCTCCTTGATCTTCTCTTCCATTTATAGTCTCTTTCTAATGATTATAAAACTCTTTTTGTTAAAGTTTTTGGCCTTTTAAAAATTCTCCAACTTTCTTAACTTCTGACTTCTTTTTGTACTATATCTGTCATTAAATTTCCTCAGATTTATTTTCTAGTGATTCCACTGCAGTGCATGTTTGCATGTATGTGTGTGTGTGTGTGTGTTTATTTTTGTGTGAAACTATGTATTTGATGGTATTCGTTTATTCTTGTGTCATGGATATCTTCTTTCCACCCAGGAAAATGTAATTAAAAAACAGATTGTTTTATTACCGGCTTTCTTTAAATATATGACAACCCTTATTTAAATGTAGCTGAAACATTAAGAAATGTTTTATTAGTTTAGGGGTTGGCTTCATAGTATTAATAACAACATTGACATTACCATTTTCTTGTTATTTGTCACAGATAATCTTTCTTAGGAAGGTTGTTAATCCCTTGTTGTTACTAATTACTCAGCAACACAGCTAGATAACCTTTAAAGAAAAGGGGTTTTATATTGGCTCATTATTGTAGTGTAAGGTTGAGATGCTGTATCTGCTAATGGCCTTGTTGCTGGTAGGTCCCGAGGCAGAACAAAGCACATGGCAAGTGGCAGGCAGCATGTAGGTGTCTCCTTTCAATTCTGTCTCCATTCTTAAAAATCCACCAGTGTTCAGTCACCATAAAGCTCCACCACAATGACCCCATCTGTTCACCTCGTCAAGGTCCTACCTTCAGACTCCATGTCTGGATAAAGTTTCAGCCATCTCAGTACTTCATTCATAGTGGGTATTGAACTCCAAATGAGTTTTGGAGGTGATCAATCATATTTTCCCTTGCCAAAGTTAGTGTCTACAGAGAAGCACATTCAAATCCCCTATGAAATATAAGCCTAGTCATCATAGATTCTGAGGCACTTCTGGGGAGCAGCGGGTCACCTCAGAGTCTTCATTTACTACATACCAACAGATGTTAACTCAGTTCTGCAGGTTAACTCGGTTAACTCAGTTTGATAGGCTCAAGGGTACAGCCCTCTGATGTGGAGTTTTTGCTCTGTTTCAGTTCCATTTACTCACAGCTTCAGCCCCTCCAATAATTACATCATGCAACCGCTTTTCTTTCAAGTTGTCATCTGTTAGTTAATACCTCCTGGTCTCCTACTCAAAAGTCACCTGCCATTGTCCACATGTGTTTTTGGTACTGCAATCTGCTTCTGTTTCTCTCGTTGCCTTTGTCTCATAGTTTATGAAATTTTTATAAACCTGGCATAGTCACTTCGGTGGGATTCAGAAGGTAGCAGGAGTAAGCTTGTACGGTTGGCATGTAATCTACCTGTAAATTTTTAAAAGCATTATTTATCTCAGTCATGTGTATTATGTAGACTTCATGGGGTCTGCTCTTGGCTGCCCCTTAAAGCCTTTCTTAAGGTAATTCCTATTTTACTCGAGTATTTTATATTAGCCTCCTTGCCTACATTTCCCTTAATTCTATGACTAAACTTAAATTCTTGATAAACCATTAGATTTTTTCTCATTTGTTGCCGTTCACATATTTTCTCAGGTCATTATCATGCCCTGTTCCCCATTACAAACTTCATTCATTTATGCATTTTTCACCCACTTTCTTCGCTTTCAACATAAATTGATTATTCATATGGCAAGATGGCAGAGCCAGATCATTAGGGCTAGAAGTCAGCCGACTTGCTAAGATGCACAAGCAAGTCAGTTATATGATTTGATTGATGTTGTGATCTATAAATAACACTGATATAATATATTGGTATAATATAAATTTGATTTCAGAGAACTTCATCTACAATAAATTTGTCACCAGGAGAAGTGGAAGAGGAGGAGGAGGATCCGAACACTTGTGGACCCACAGGACTTTGGGAAGCACTAACTCCGTGTAACGGATGTAGGAACCTGGGCTTTCCCATGCTTGCACAGGTAAAGGTTCGCTTTTATTACGGTACAACAAAGCTGTGAGACAGTCGCATGTTTTTTTGATTCAGTTTTTTTTTCCATCAGAAATGTACATAGTCCTCAGTTCCCTCTGTAAGTTCTTTTTCTTCAGCTTCCTGTGGGTCTCAATGTGACATTAGTGAATTCACACAATTTTTATGTTTTTAAATTTTGGTTATGATACTGAAAGTTTCTCCCATTTATAAAACTTTAATGTTCATGACCCATAAACATGTCATATAAAAGAACAATATTTTTACAGATACTTAGATGTAATCTGAAACTGTAGTTAGAGGAGGCCATGTTGAGGTTGTTTAAAAACACTGGTAGTGATACATAAGTTTTTAGCACAATGGAAGCATTATAGAATAATACAAATAAATCCAATGTTCCACTGGAATTCTTTTTAAATGAGAAGAGAGCACTAAAATACTGATCATGTGTTTTTAAACATTTTATTATTAAATTAGATTTATTATATTATGGGCCCTAATTGAAATTAAATAACAGAGTTAGGAAGTTTGAAGCTGCAATAAAAATATTTCTCATAAGATGAGCTGAACTTCATACAGATGAGGATAATATTAAAATAAGGTTGAAAATGGATAAAAAAGTAATCTATGAGAGATAAAAGTCAGTTTGTCTAGCAATGAGTATCACAAATACAATTTTCCTGTTTTGCACTTGTATTTAGAAGCCATCATTTTTTATGGTAATGTCACAGAAACTTTGTTAATAATGTTCCAAAGTCCAATAAGAGTTTTTCTGAAAAGCTAAATGAAATATTCAACTTGATATGTAGTATTTACAACTTTCTTCATAGGACTTTTGTAATATCGGCTCAAATTTTTATGTGATTTGTTAGTAAGAAATAATGGAATGTGACTCTTTGGAAGTTCATTGATGTTCAGTATCTGTGGACCATTGCAGCGGAATTCTTGTAGTCAGCATCATGGATTAGCCAGTGGACATGCCTTCACTTAAGGTCTTCATACACAGAATAAAACTTTATGAGTATAGAGGAAAGGAAAAGGCAGAAGTTTTTATTTTATGAATATTCTAATCTGATTAACAGTTTAATAACAGTTAATATCATTCTAGGCTTTGTAAAATTATGTTTTTCAATAATTTGTGTTGTCTTATGAAGTAGGACTCTTAGAACAAATTAAACTATCATAGTTGTTACTGTAATGCTCTGCCACTCAAATCATTAATGCTGTGGCCATATCTGACTACCCAACTCTTTAGTAATGATTGCCCTAAGGAATTTTTATTTTTTTAAGTACTGGTAGTACCTTTTTTCTGATAAACAATGTTTAAATGCTGTTTTATTCTTTGACAATTTGTCTGAAAACACTAGTGTTGCTTGAATAAATTTCTTAGACATTCTAGACATTAACATTCAGGTAGTTACATTTATCACAAAGTGTTCTTAATCTTCAGCTTTTCTGTTGTCTTAATTTGGATATATGTACACAAGTATATTGTGTAGTTTTTTCTTTTAATTTTTATTAATTACACTTTATTCACTTTGTATCTCCCTATAAACCCCTCCTTCCTCCCCACCCAGTCCCACCTTCCCTCCCCCTTCTCCAGGTATGCCCCTCCCCAAGTTCACTGATAGGGGAGGTCTCCCTCCTCTTCCTTCTGATCCTAGTCTATTAGGTCTCATCAGGACTGGCTGCATTGTCCTCCTCTGTGGACTAGTAAGGCTGCTCCCCCCTCAGGAAAAGGGGATCAAAGAGCCAGCCCATGAGTTCATGTCGGAGATAGTCTTTGTTCCCATTACTATGGAACCCACTTGGTCATTGAACTGTCATGGGCTACATCTGTGCAGAGGTTCTAGGTTATCTCCATCAATGGTACTTGGTTGGAGTATCAGTCTCAGAAAAGACCCCTGTGTCCAGATTTTTTGGTTCTGCTGCTCTCCTTGTGGAGCTCCCGTCCTCTCCAGATCTTACTATTTCCCACTTCTTTCATAAGATTCCCTGCACTTATGAGTGAGTATATACCCTGTGTGTCTTTCTGTTTCTGGGATACCTCACTCAGGATGATCTTTTCCAGTTCCCACCATTTACCTGCAAATCTCATGATTTCCTTGTTTTTTATTGCTGAGCAATATTCCATTGTGTAGATGTACCACAATTTCTGCATCCAGTCCTCCATTGAGGGGCATTTGGGTTGTTTCCAGCTTCTGGCTATTACAAATAAAGCTGCTACAAATATGGTTGAGCAAATGCCCTTATGTTGTACTTGAGCATATTTTGGATATATGCCTAGGAGTGGTATAGCTAGATCTGGAGGAAGTGCTATTTCTAATTGTCTGAGAAAGCACAAGATTGATTTCCAGAGTGGTTGTACAAGTTTACATTCCCACCAGCAGTGAAGTAGAGTTCCCCTTTCTCCACAACCTCTCCATCATGTGTTGTCACTTAAGCTTTTGATCTTGGACATTCTGAAGGGTGTAAGGTGAAATCTCAGGGTCATTTTGATTTGCATTTCCCTGATGACTATGGACGCTGAACATTTCTTTAAGTGTTTCTCTGCCATTCGATATTCCTCTGTTGAGAATTCTCTGTTTAGCTCTGTATCCCATCTTTTAATTGGATTACTTGATTTATTGCTGTTTAACTTCTTGAGTTCTTTATATATACTGGATATTAGCCCTCTGTCAGATAGAATGTTGGTGAAGATCCTTTCCCAATCTGTAGGCAGTCTTTTTGTTTTGATAACAGTGTCCTTTGCTTTACAGAAGCTTTTCAGTTTCAATGAGGTCCCATTTATTGACTCTTGGACTTAGAGCCTGTGGTGTTGGTGTTCTGTTCAGGAAGTTGTCTCCTGTGCCAATGAGTTCAAGGCTCTTCCCCACTTTTTCTTCTAACAGGTTTAGTGTGTCTGGTTTTATATTGAGGTCTTTGATCCACTTGGACTTTAGTTTTGTGCAGGGTGATAAGTATGGATCTATTTGCATTTTTCTACATGTAAATGCCCAGTTAGACCAGCACCATTTGTTGAAGATGCTGTCTTTTTTCCATTGAATGGTTTTGGCATTTTTGTCAAAAATCAGGTGTCCATAAGTGTGTGGATTTATTTTGGGGTCTTCTATCCAATTCCTTTGATCCACCATTCTGTTTCTGTGCCAGTACCATGCAGTTCTTAGTATTGTTGCTCTGTAGTACAGCTTGAGATCAGGGATGGAGATACCTCCAGAAGATCTTTTATTGTAGAGGATTGTTTTAGCAATCCTGGGTTTCTTGTTATTCCATATGAAGTTGAGAATTTTTCTTTCAAGGTCTGTAAAGAATTGTGTTGGTAATTTGATGGGAATTGCATTGAATCTATAGATTGCTTTTGGTAAGATGGGCATTTTTACTATATTAATTCCGCCAAGCCATGAGCATGGGAGATCTTTCCATCTTCTGATATCTTCTTCTAATTATTTCTTTAGAGACTGGAAATTTTTTCATACAAGTCTTTGACTTGCTTCGTTAGGGTCACAACAAGGTACTTTATATCCTTTGTGGCTATTGTGAAGGGTGTTATTTTCCTAATTTCTTTCTCAGTCAGCCCTTTTGTCTTTTGTATACAGGAGGACTACTGATTTTTTTTTTTGAGTTAATTTTGTATCCAGGCACTTTTGGCTGAAGGTATTAATCAGCTGTAGGAGTTCCCTGGTAGAATTTTTGGGGTCATTCAGGTATACTGTCATATTATCTGCAAGTAGTGATACATTGACTTCTTCCTTTACAATTTGTATCCCCTTTATCTCCATTAATTTTCTTATTGCTTTAGCAAGGACTTCAAGAACTCTGTTGAAGAGATATTGTGAGAGTGGACAGCCTTGCTTTCTCCCTGATTTCAGTGGGCTTGCTTTAAGTTTCTCTCCATTGACTTTGATATTTTCTATAGGCTTGCTGTATATTGCCTTTACTATGTTTAGATATGTGCCTTGTATCCCTGATCTCTCCAAGACTTTAAACATGAATGGGTGTTGGATTTTGTCAAATGTTTTTTCAGCATCTAAGGAGATGATTATGTGGTTTTCTCCTTCAGTTTGTTAATATGGTGGATCACATTGATGGATTTCCATATATTGAACCACCCCTGCATAACTAAGATGAAGCCTACTTGGTCATAGTGGATGATATCTTTGATGTGTTCTTGTATTCAGTTTGCAAGTATTTTGTTGAGCATTTTTGCATCAATGTTCATAAGGAAGATTAGCCTGAAATTCTCTTTCTTTGTTGGGTCTTTGTGAGGTTTAAGTACCAAGGTGACTGTGGCTTCATAGAATGAGTTTGGTAGTGTTCCTTCTGTTTCTCTTTTGTGGAATAGTTTGAAGAGTATTGGCATTAGCTCTTCTTTGAAGGTCTGTTAGAATTCTGTGCTGAAACCATCTGGCCTTGGACTTTCTTTCTTTTTTCTTTTTTTTTTTTTTTTGATGAGAGACTTTTGATGAACACTTCTACTTACTTAGGGGATATAGGACATTTAATTGATTTACCTGGTCTTGAGTAAGCGTTGGCAAGTGGAATCAGTCAAAAAAATTGTCCATTTCATTTAGATTTTCAAATTTTGTGGCATATAGGCTTTTGAAGTAAGACCTAATGATTGTTTGGATATCTTCAGTGTCTGTGGTTATGTCCCCCAATTAATTTCTGATTTTGCTGATTAGGATAGTGTCTCTCTGCCTTTTAGTTAGTTTGGCTAAGGGTTTGTCTATGTTGTTGATTTTCTCAAAGAACCAGTTTTTGGTTTAATTGATTCTTTGAATTGTTTTATTTGTTTCTAATTGATTGATTTCAGCCCTGAGTTTGATTATTTCCAGCCATCTACTCCTCTTTGGTGTTTCTGCTTTTTTTTTTTTTTCTAGGGCTTTTAGGTGAGCCATTTAGTTGCTTGAACGATATGTTTTGAATTTCTTCTTGAAGGCACTTAGGGCTATGAACTTTCCTCTTAGCACTGCTTTCATTTTGTCCCATAAG